GAGTGAGCAGCAGAAGCTATTAAATGTTGTATATTGAATACATTCGATATTGTCAGCTGTTTTCTGCTGTGTGTATCTGTTAAAAGAAAGAGGAAAAAATAAAGAAATATGTGTGCAATGTATTTTTTGTTGTGGAATTTTTAACTTATATATTTATTTCAAATAATTAATTAATAATATTCGAATTTAAAAACATAATTTTATTAATTCTATCAGGGTTGGAAGCTATTGAACATTGCTTTTCTGTAATTAAATAATTAAATTAAATAAATATTAAATCTGCAAATATCAACACAGAAAACATATATAGACGGTCACAACTACACATTTTGTTAGTAAAACTAAAACACAAGCTTTAAACAAAACAAAACACAAAAACAACACGCTGGTATTTGCCGAAAAATACATACATTTTTTCCTGCAGGTTCCGCTTCCATTTCGCACGTCTGCTCACAATTTCTCAAAGCGCAAAATGAATACACAAAATATTCTTCGAACTACTTGAGTAGTTCGAGTGTTTTCGAAGTTTTCATTTCACTTTGCTCTTCTTTCGTTATACTCAGTCATTCGGCATGAGACACAACATGTTCGTCTTGCGAAACAGTAGTATACACATTCGTCTCATTCTGTCCTTTTCACTCGCTCATATTCTACTCAATTCGAATGTACTCAATGTGGCTTTGTTATGAATGTAATCATGCAGACGTCTATTCTACAAGTTATATCCCATAATTGTGAGCATCGCATCCCATGCGTACACACAATCAAATGTATATACATACATACATACATATGTATGTGAGCACTTCACAAGATCGACCAAATGCAAATGCTGGGATTTAAAATTGCTACAGGCAGCAAGAGCTTCGCACAAAATGTTCATAGTACATGCAGCATACTGTAAGGGTGTGTGTGCGTGCTCGTCGTGAAAACAGTTTCATTATGCGCACCAACGCTTTCATACCCTTCCCACAAATAATAACGAAAACGCATGGCAAACGGCTTGAAGAGTTCGGAATACTCTTCACTCAGAAGGGAAGACATGGGTGAGCTGCTGCCCAGTGGCGACGACCTGAATGAGGTCTGTTGAAATAATGCATTACATACGACAAAAAAGTAATGCATTACCTATGAACATTTTTTTCAGCGCATTTGTAATGTACAAAATAAAAAGTGCTACTCATACGACAGAATCGAGCTCTTGTTAACTTCGTTTCTGTATGCCCCGTCCCCGCTAACCAACAAACGATTTTCGTCATTCGTTGCGTCGCGACGAAATCGCCGAATTTCGTTTTGGACTTTACCGTTTTTTGCATGGAATGCGTGCCTTCTTTTGTTTGGTTTCTTTGTCTATGCCAATTTCTTTTGTGTGTATAGTGTTAATGAGTGTAAATACAAGTTCAAAAATGCATATGTGTGATGATTTCTGTTTTCGTTTTACCCGCCGCGGCGCGTCACTTTTCTGCTATTGTTGAGCCGTGCGGACGTAAATTTAAAGGGATCATCTTACATGTATTTTTAATGACAACAAAATTAATATTGTTTAATTTACAGATGCTATAAAAACCGAAGGGTCCACTAAGAAGACCTATATAAGTACAATAAGAAACTGCTTTCGGGTCCAGAAAGGTCGACTGGCAAAGCAGAAGTTCGATAATAAGGACAAACTAGATAATAAGACATAGCTTTAGATACATTTATTTATAGATATTAAGAAATAATAAATAATAATATTTAAAAATTAAAACAAAAAATACTACATTACTCAAGCGTTTCTATCTTTCAATTAGTAATCAATTATTTCTCCAATTACATTGCATTAAGAAGTAAGCCATTTTATATAGTGGGAAAATGGGTTGCAGGTATATTGTGTTGTAATGTACGCACATTACTAACCCATAAGCGATTTTGAAAATGTATAAGGCGTTTTCTTCAGGTTGCGGAATTTCTACATTACAATATTTAAAAAGTATACGCATGGGTAATGGAGAGCCGAAGGAAACTTCGTCACCTCATTACTTCTGCATTACAAAATTTAATAATTTCATGCACCCGGGAGAAAAAGCGGCCATTCCTTAAAAAAGTAAGGCAGCTTGTAATCGATCTTTTCATGCACACAGGCGACAAGTAATCCATGAGTAATGGGCATTTCCGCCACTGGGATTGAGCACAGAGGGACCTTTTGTTCAACAGTCGACCATCTCGGCCGACCGCATGAAACGAAATGATTTTGTGTTCCCATATTTTCGTAGCCCGACCCTAAAAGTGAGGAGCCGAGCAAATACGAAGTGGTCTGGGAACTAATGCTCGAAAAAAAGTGTGCAAAACGCTTTACACTACTTGTCCGGTCTATGTGTTCTGTGGTTAGTGCTTTCACTCACACAATAAAAAAGACTCAGACAGAAATGGTTTATGTCGCGTATGGTTTAGCTCGCTCGCGCTCTGAGCGACACAGTTATTTCAGTTTTCGTTTCGCTCAAGTCAAGCACTGATCGTTTGCTTGGGTTAAATGAAGCAAACTGTCAGTTGCGTTTGTATGGGTAATCACGCGCGATTGTTGCGTTCTTTTTGTACGTATGTATGTATGTATTTACATGCACACGAAGGCAAAGATCATTTCTGTTGAGTTTTTTAATCAAACTGTCTTTTGCTGAGAGTCTTTGTGTAAGCGAAAATCGTATTACTCTTTACGCGACACTCATTTGAGATCGCCACTCCAATGAGTCAATGCGAAGCACTTGACCAAAACCAATTCAAAACAAAAAGAGCCGCTCATAGCGAGATTGTGTCTGCACAATCTTTTCGGTTATGTTATAAAGCAGAACATATTCGAAAAAACGATCAACCATCATTTGCAAGCTATGATACAAAATTAAGAAAAATTATAATTATTAATCACGCACCTTTGACGATATTATCGTCCACTATCGAGCCATTGAACCATCGATAGTTCAGTCGCTCGATATTGCCCGACCGTCGATAGTGTCATCGATAGTTTGGCACCTCTAATGCGTAGGTGGTGTTGCCTGTATAAACCGACAGACCAGGGTGACCGAATATGGTATCTTAAATACTTTTTGGTATTTTATCAGCTCCGATTTTGCTCAAAAGTATTTTAATGGTATATAGGTATTTAGTAGCATTTTTCTTCGATTTTATGGTATTATGGTATTTTCGGTTTGGTCACTCTTTAAGTCTTAATGAATCGAATGCTTAATGCTTAAGACTTGCTTAATTTTAAAACAAGTAAATAGAAAATATGAGCAATAAGCAAAAATATAGAGCTGAGTGGGAGACTATGCCGGAAAATGAAAAATGGCTGGGAAGGAGCGCTAATAATATGGATGCGCACTGCAAAGCGTGCCAGACTAACATTTTGAGTAGGCTGGCGTCACTTAAGCAGCATGCGGCTACACAAAAACAAAGATTTAATAATTTTGCCCGTTTCTAATCCATCGTGTGAACGCATATTCTCTCAAATTAATTTAATCAAAACGAAAAATCGAAACCGCTTTAAAAATGTAAATATATCACATATATTACATGTACAATAATCATTGCGCGAAAATGGGTGCAATAATTTTAAGCCCAGTGAACAAGTGTTATGTAAAGATAATTAAATGATCTTAAGAGAAACTAGCAAGACTGAACAAAGAAGTTCCTTTACTATTTTATTTTAAGAAAATGTTACAAAATGAATTTTAAGCATTTAATTAATTTTAAGACTTTAAATATATATTGGAATATGGAATTGAATGCGAATGCATATTGTTCTAGTTTTATGTTGGACTGAAATATTATTAATTTTTTAAAATGAAATAAACAACAAACATTTTTTGCAATGGGAAAACCCTTATTTTTTCTATATATAATAAGTCAGTTATTATTTTATTATAATTTGAATTTCCAGACGATTTATTTGTTATGGTATTTATAGTGGTATTTTGTAAAATATGAAATAGTATTTTATAGTATATTTTTGAGACCAAATTGGTATTTTTCGTTTGGTCCGGCGCGGTCACCCTGAATCGAATGCTTAATGCTTAAGATTTGCTTAATTTTAAAACAAATAAATAGAAAACATGAGCAATAAGCAAAAATATAGAGCTGAGTGGGAGACTATGCCGGAAAATGAAAAATGGCTGGGAATGAGTGCTAATAATATGGATACGCACTGCAAAGCGTGCCAGACTAACATTTTGAGTAGGCTGGCGTCACTTAAGCAGCATGCAGCTACACAAAAACAAAGATTTAATAATTTTGCCCGTTTCTAATCCGTCGTGTGAACGCATATTCTCTCAAATTAATTTAATCAAAACGAAAAATCGAAACCGCTTTAAAAATGTAAATATATCACATATATTACATGTACAATAATCATTGCGCGAAAATGGGTGCAATCATTTTAAGCCCAGTGAACAAGTGTTATGTAAAGATTTCAACAAATTGAATTTAAGCTGCTCTGACGAAGAAGGCTAGTAAATATAATTAAATGATCTTAAGAGAAACTAGCAAGACTGAACAAAGAAGTTCCTTTATTATTTTATTTTAAGAAAATTTTACAAAATGAATTTTAAGCATTTAATTAATTTTAAGACTTTAAATATATATTGGAATATGGAATTAAATACGAATGCATATTGTTCTAGTTTTATGTTGGACTGAAATATTATTAATTTTTTAAAATGAAATAAACAACAAACATTGTTTGCAATGGGAAAACCCTTATTTTTTCTATATATAATAAGTCAGTTATTATTTTATTATAATTTGAATTTCCAGACGATTTATTTGTTATGGTATTTATAGTGGTATTTTGTAAAATATGAAATAGTATTTTATAGTATATTTTTGAGACCAAATTGGTATTTTTCGTTTGGTCCGGCGCGGTCACCCTGATCAGTTCCTTAAAGGCTTAGGGGATCTCGTAGTCGAGCAGTCTCGACTAGAGCTTTCTTACATATTTTAAATTATATGTTTGAATTATAAAAACTACTCACTTTGTGCAAATCTGCAGAGCGCAGCGATAAACCGAAACAATGCTGATCAGAAAGTGTAAAAATATGACAAATATTAGTCCGCAAGCAGCTGGAACCTCGCTATGGGCATTCATCAGGTCAAACTGCAAATAATAGTAATAGCAATAGCAACAAGATACCTATGTAAATAAAAACAAAGTGGAAAGTTACATTAATTTATATTTTTACCTGTTCACTCTTTTGTTCGGCCATGCGATTGAGGTCACGCGACAGGCCCACACCAGAAATGGCCAGCGCCAACGTACTGCTGGCAATGCATACCAAACTGAGCGCAAGAAAGGCCGTCTGGGTTTTGCGCATGCTGACCACGCCCAACGAACCGGTGATGGCTGCAATCAAACCTGTCCAAATACCGGCCATTGACAAGGCCGTGTCGCGCACTATTAACAGGGAGCCGAGCGCCATCAATGAAATGGCCAAAACCAGTTGCAAAGTACCTAACATGATTTGCAATGGAAATGCGGAGCAGCATTCATTGCTGGCCCGATGCTTGTGCCGCGCCTTGGCTGATAATGTGGAGCCATTGGCTTCATTATCACTGGTACCATTGCCACTGCTGCCCTTATACTTGATAAATTCCGGTGGACAGCGTTGCTTTTTGCTGATGCGAGAATCGATGGTATTGTTAACACTCTTGACCGGGGTACGTGGGATCGATGCCTCTTCCAGTTGGTGCTTAAACTCTTCGTGGCTTATGAGCTTTGACTTCTTTGTTTGATCATCCTTATCATTTAGCGCATTGGCCAGCAATGTAGCAGCCGTTAGCATCAATGGAGGCGAAGGTTTCTCATCGTAGACAGGACTGGAGTATATATGGCTCTGAGCATCAACATGCTGACGTTCATCCTGTTCCACTTGCTCCTGCTTCTGCTGACCCTGCTGAGAATCCCTTCGTAGAATCGCTATTTGTGAGTTAGTCAAGCTACTGTCGTCATTGGTCGCATTGGTGTTTTGCTCAATGGTATTGGTCACTTGCAACAGATTATTTCGATTTAGACTGCGATCCACAATCGTATCCATGCTGCCCGTTGTCGAGTCATGTGAGTCTATAGTACGTGCTGGTGATGCCGAGTGCCGACCATTAAATTGTTCACTGCTGCTGACCATCGCCTGTTGCGTGTTGTTTGCTTCAGCCATGCTATGTCACTGGCTCATTGGCCTTGTGCTGAAAGTATGGGTTAATGCTAAAAAATTTTTGGAATACTTTCCCAATTAGGTAAGTGCGTAACGAAACTGACCAGAGAACACATAGACTAGACATGTAGTACAAAGTTTTTCAACACCGAAAAATCTCTCTCGTAGGGCCTATCAATTTCGTATTTGCTCGGCTCTTCACTTTTAGGTACGGGCTACGAAAATATACGAAAGCACAATCATTTCGCTTCATGCGCTCGACCGAGATGGTCAAATGTTGAAGATGCCTCTATGCTCTATGTCTAGTCTATGTGTTCTCTGGTCAGTGGTAACGACTAATATTGCGCAAGCGCTTTGCGCAAATTGAATTAAGCCTTTCTCTAATAGGTACAAACAAAAATGATCAGAAAACTATTTACATATACATACATATGTATGTATGTACATATATGTATGTATATTATACATACATATTAGCAAACAAAGGAATAACTACTTCTAGGCTCCAATGTTAGTATATCCTAAGCCCGTAGACAACGGAAACAAGTAAGAAAACTCTAGTCGAGACTGCTCGACTACGAGATCCCCTGAACCCTTGGAGCAATAGCTATTTCAATCATTTTTCGTGTCTTTCAGCTTACACAAGAAACACGCACATATGCACACACACACACACACACACACACACACACACACACACACACACACACACACACACACACACACACACATACACACACACATACACAAACATTTACACACACACATACACACACACACACACATACACAAACATTCACACACACAAGCATAAACACGCATGGGCTGCAGTGTGCGCTTACTTTGAGAACTTAATACATAATACATACATTTTAAAAATAAATATTAAATTAAGAGCAAGAGACTTCAAAAGTCGATTTTATATTTTTGTTCTTTAAATTTTGCATTTATGTTCATGTGTATTTTATACAATTTTGATAGTTGTTATATTTTGGATGGCACAACTATTTTGTAAAACTCATTAAATTAAAGTGCAGTTTCTAATAAGGTCAATATATGAATTACGAATATACAAAACTACATACATTGCAGTGCTGAAGCTGCTTTGCATGTGGACATTTAAACATGAGCTGTCTAACCTGTTACAAACATTTTAACCATTAAACCTAATTACTCATTTTCAATGGATTCGGGGTAACAAGTAAATAAACAATAAAATATATATGAAATCTAGGGTTGCCATCCGTCCCGGAATTCTGGAACATGTCCTGCTTTTGGAGGTAATGTCCCGATGTCCCGACCGGACACGGAATTTTTCAGGGTTTTTGCTGTTCTGATAAATAACAAGTAAGAAAACTCTAGTCGAGAGTGCTCGACTAGATACTACCACTAACCACTGTGTCTTTTAACAGTGGTCTCCCAGACCACTTCGTATTTGCTCGGCTCTTCACTTTTAGATTCGGGCTACGAAAATATACGAAAGCACAATCATTTCGCTTCATGCGCTCCACCGAGATGGTCAAATATTAAACAAAAGAACAGTGTTGCCAAATCAGCCGTCAAATCTGGCTTTTTTGAAAAGCCGATTGCGGAAAAAATTCCAAAACAGCGGGCAGCGGGAATTCTGGATTTTTTATACCATGAACCCATTTTCAATGGGAAATCAGGGTATAATGGTTTTGTTGAAATGTATGTAACAGGCAGAAGGAGGCGTGGCAGACCCCATAAAGTATATAAATTCTTGATCAGGGCGACGAACTGAGTTGATTTTGCCATGTCCGTCTGTCTGTCTGTCCGTCCGTCTGTCCGTATGTATGAACGCGTCGATTTCAGAAGATATAAGAGCTAGAGATTTAAATTTTTTTTTAAATGTCCGTAATTACATTAAAAATCGATAGCTCATCCCGATCTTTTTTTATCGATAAAAACCTTATCGAACATCAGTTATAAAATTATATCTCCTACACCTTTATTGCTAGAGTCTCCAAATTTTTTATGTATGCTAATATGCAATTTATGCAATTTAGGTTTTCGTTAAAATTTACCCTCCACCCCTATATTCACCCCCTCACCCTCACATTTGTAAAAGGCGTATATCAAATACTAGAGACTTGTGCTTTGGCAATTACATGCATATCCATGTTATAATCATAATCTGAAAGTTCGTATGTCCACAAAAAAAGTTATTAAGCAATTAAGTTCTCATAGTAAGCGCTCACTGCCGCCCATGCGTGTTTATGCTTGTGTGTGTATATGTATGTAATTGTTTCTGTATGTGTGTGTGTGTATGTATGTGTGTGTGTGTGTGTGTATGTGTATGTATGTGTGTGTATGTATGCCTGTGTGTGCGTGCGTGCGTGTGTGTGTGTGTGTGTGTGTGTGTGTGTGTGTGTGTGTGTGTGTGTATGTGTGTGTGTGTGTGTGTGTGTGTGTGTGTGTGTGTGTGTGTGTGTGTTTTCTTGGGTAAGCAGAAAGACACGAAAAATGATTGAAATAGCTATTGCTCCAAGGGTTCAGGAGATCTCGTAGTCGAGTAGTCTCGACTAGAGCTTTCTTACTTGTTTAACGTTATTTTAGTGAAACAAAAAATTTACTAAATAGAAATGTAATATGATATATATATATATATATATATATATATATATATATACACTGCGCGTCATCAGGTTAGCGCCCCCCTTTACACTCAACCTCAAAGCTAAATAAAATCTAAGCCATCAGAGCTCCATCTTTGAATTTTTTTTACATTATACTCCATTTATTTCTCTTTAAAATACAAAAAGAATGGCTACTGTAACAATAAGGATTATTTTTAAATAATTTTTTTTTGTAAAATGTACAAAAAACATGTAACAAAAATTTGGTCATCAGATTAGCGCCCCCTGCGCTAAATTCAATTTATTGAAGTTAATGACCAAAAATAACACCTGTATTTTAAGCTATTATTATTTTTAAGTAATATTAGTAGTGCGTAGTGCCGTTTTTTGTTTGAAATTACCTCAAAAATTCGATTAGGAGTGGAATTATAAAGTTGTTCAATATTATTCAAGGATATGGTTTACCAAGCGTGTTCAGTACCTTCGATCAACTCTATCTTTGCACAATAATGCTTTTCGGACTCATATACTTTCCTGATCAACCATCCCCAGACGTTTTCAATGATATTAAGGTCGAGTGAATATAGTGGCCACTCCATGAGATCAATTTTTTGGCCCTGAATCCAGGACTTCAGGGATTAGGATTTGGATTTGGAGCATTATCATGCTGGGAAATCTAATGCCGGTTTTCAGACAGGATATAGAAATGCGGAACAGCAGTTTTAAACACGATGTTATAGTCCTATGCGTTCATGCGTGATGTCAAAAATTGAAGCTTACAAGCGCTGTAGTAAGATATTGCACCCTACATCAATGCCACACCACCCCCACGCCGCAACGGCTTGGAAACCATTCCAAATAATGTTCTTCTATGCGTAGGTCATGGATATAATAAATTTTGCCATAAGCTCCTTCCAAATTCAATTTTTCTCATCAGAAAAGACAACATGCTGCCATTGGGTAGACCACGTCATGTTCGCCCGGCCAAAATTAATGCGTATTTCTTTTCTCAGCATATCGACTGGTGTCTTTTTTTTTACATTCTGTTTCTTTAGGTAATTAACTTTCTTTATTGCTCTTTGGACCGTTGATAAGCTCGTCTTAACACCGATTTTATCCCTAATCTTGGTGGTCGATTCATGGGAATTCGAAGCTTCCCGAACTAATGCTCTTCTATTTCCTTCTGAAATCGCTTGATTATTGCCGCGTATATAGTTTTTTCCATAGTTTTCCCTATTTGTAAGAAAATTGCCACTTAGATTTCTGTTTATACCCTGAACCCATTGAAAATGGGAAATCAGGGTATAATGGTTTTGTTAAAAGTATGTAACAGACAGAAGGAGGCGTGGCAGACCCCACAAAGTATATATATTCTTGATCAGGGCGACGAGCTAAGTCGATTTGGCCCTGTCCGTCTGTCTGTCCGTCCGTCCGTCCGTCCGTCCGTCCGTCCGTATGTATGAACGCGTCGATTTCAGAAGATATAAGAGCTAGAGACTTGAAATTTTTTTTCCTAGGTCCGTGTATATCACGCGCATATCAAGTTTTTCTTTTTATATCGATAACTACTCCCGATAATTTATTATCGATCAAAAACCTTATCGAAAGCTAGTTATTTAATTATACCTCCTACACCTTTAGAGCTAGAGCTTCCAAATTTTAAATGTAGACTTATATGTATTTTATATAATTTCGATTTTTGTTGTAATTTACCCCCCACCCCAATATCCACCCCCTCACCCTCACCTTTGTAAAAGACGTATTTCAAGTACTAGAGACTTGTGCTTTGGAATGTACATACATTTTCACTATATAATTTCGCCCTGAAACTTTCATTAAGATTGTAATCTGATATTCTAATCACTCTGCACTTCTTTTCGGCACACGTACATACACATCCACGTATTAGAACGCGCTCTGCTAGCTGCGCAGTAAGCAGCGACTGCGCTTGTGCTGCGCTGCAGTGTGGGCAACATTATAAGGATTTATTTGTTGAATATTTTAATTTCTAGACGTACAATCTTAATGAAACTTTCAGAACATAATCATAATATTCAAATGTATGTACATTCCAAAGCACAAGTCTCTAGTACTTGAAATACGCCTTTTACAAAGGTGAGGGTGAAGGGGTGGATATAGGGGTGGGGGTAAATTACAACAAAAATCGAAATTATATAAAATGCATATAAGTCTACATATAAAATTTGGAAGCTCTAGCTCTAAAGGTGTAGGAGGTATAATTAAATAACTAGCTTTCGATAAGGTTTTTGATCGATAATAAATTATCGGGAGTAGTTATCGATATAAAAAGAAAAACTTGATATGCGCGTGATATACACGGACCTAGGAAAAAAAATTTCAAGTCTCTAGCTCTTATATCTTCTGAAATCGACGCGTTCATACATACGGACGGACGGACGGACGGACGGACAGA